ATAGAGAGGAGAGGCGGGGGGGGGGCCGGGGGCGTACTCTTATGTTTTGCATTAGCGGTTAGACTATTGACCACGCGTCCTCGAGAGGACGGAGCATTGTTCCCACAGGACCGATCACCGATGGCCAATCGTTCCTTCCTATTTTGCCAAAGGTGGCTCAAAAATGTCTTCCCTAGTATGTCTATCCTACCGATATCCCTTCCCGCCTTTTCAAACCACTTCCTACTCCCCAGTGCAGCTACCGTCCTCTCCTCTCTATTCCATGCCTCAAACATCTCCCTGTACGTCCGGGGGGGGGGGGGCTGAACGGCACGCTTTTGTTTGAACTTGCTTTTCCACCAGTGGTGGGCATGTCACGACGGCCGTGTCTTCTTGTTTGATTTGTGGCACTGCGTTGTTGACTATTTACGGCAAATCGTGTTGTTGTCTTCAAGAGTAGGGAAGAGGACGTACTGAAAAGAGGCGAACAGAGGATCTCAACATCAAGACAACAACAATGTTGACCGCCCTTACAACAGCACGCTGGGTGTTCGTTCTCCTCGTGAACCGCCAAACAGCTGTAAGTGCTCTTTGTGGCATCGTGTACTTTGGTGACTGTCCGCCGACAGCAGTGCATAGAGGCTGACGGACTGCCGAGTGGTAATCCGTGCAGGAAGATCAGTCCGCACACCCCCAGATAATTTGGAGACTCTCAAACGACCCATCACATAATAAGGTGTGTGTCCCAGAGCGAGGGAAAATGGGAAAGAAGTTGAAAGCACAGGGGGCGCTGCCATGGGGCCAAATCGATCACCAGAGCCACCGTGACAACACTCATCGATGGACTATGCACACGTATATCGTCGACACCAACACGAAACGGCTGCTTCGGGCCCTAAGGTTGTTTGCGATCGCTACCAACAGGACGTGTACAACCCGAAGACTATTTCGATGTAGCGCTGTGTAGGCGCTAACGTGCCGACTGCTGTAAATTTATGTGGTAGGATGAGACGTGCCGAGGAATCAACACCACTAATTCCAACACAACAACAGCATGGACGAAGAGAAAGGGTCGTCCGAAGAGGCGACAATTTGATAGGCGTTGGGATACATGAGCGATACAAGTAGTGACCGGCGGGGGCAAACATCAGTCGAGACACTCAAATTGTCTCCCTTTGGGAGATCTTGCAACTAGTATGGGCACCAAAGAGCAACATCCCCCCAGGGAATGCCGACAAAAAAAACTAAGGTAGATAGCGTACCTTTGGGGGGCGGTAGGCGTACGCGTAGACCCTGCCAGATCCCGGGTGTATCCAACGGTCCGTGAGTCGATCGATAATTATCTGTCTGGGCACGTCCAGGTTCATCACCATGTCCACTGGCAGGTGATCCTTGAGAGCTTTCGCCTGAGCTGTGGACCTACGGGCATCCATACAACCAACCGTTGTGGTGAGCACCGTTGTCCCAGTCAAAGCGAAATTTTTCCTCTTGAACAGAAAATATCTGTCACCCGTGTGGGGGGAGTCTGAACATCACAATGGTTGCCGAATGACAAGGTTTTGTCTGAGCAAAACGAAGAGGTACACTGATGTACAGGCATTTGTGCAACCAGGGGAAAAACAACAGAAAACGCACGGGGCCATCGGCGGTACCAAACTCTGTGTTGCGGGGGCTTGGCAACGTGAACATTCTCATCCCGGCATCAAGCGAGGCGACGCCTGCCGAGGGAGACAAGGGCCGCTGTCGAAAAAGCATAGCCTTCTCGGTCAGGTAGGGTTTCTCGCCAGCGGCACGACCGAGTACACGTCGAAAACAGAGCCAGCCGCAATCAAGACAAACGTCACCTCCCACCTTGGGAAGCCATCGAGAAGTATATGCTTTCCGCGGCCCTTGGCTCGCTCGACCGCAGCCATGAGCACCTCGAAAATGATCTCATCAGGGACGAACTTCCCCTGGTCCATGAACTCCTTGGCCGTCTTACCCGTCTCCGAGCCGGCCTGGATCTCATCGCGAAGCAGGTCCCCCGTGCTAATGTGGGCGAAGTGGAAGTCTCGTAAGATCTTCCCCGATATCGTGCCCTTTCCACTCCCTGTGCATAATTGCGTGATGGCCGTGTAACATGGAGAGAGAAAAGATTCGAAACGGCAGTCCAGATGGTTGAGAGGGATGTTCAACAAAGAGTCAACTCGGGAGCAAACGAGTGTGGTCTTGATTCTGTCCATGACGTGGGTGTTCTGACGCGTCCAACGTGGTGTAAACGAGAACAACACACGGAAAAGAGAGCTGCAGCTCCAGGTTGAACATTTGACCGAATACCGGAGAGTACACCTTGAACAGGAAATCATTGAAAAGGAAGAATCAACCCCGATACCAATGTGGCTCACCACACTGCCAACCGCGAAGAGCCCCAACAGGTACAACTGCTGTAGGTCGCAGCAGGGACGTCTAAACGGAAGCACCTTTTGCTATCATTTGGGCTTGCGTCAGGGATGGGGCGTGGACGTGTAGCTTGGCTGGGCTCGTTTCTAGGTGAAGTTTCTTCGCCCATTACAATGCCTCCCCCTACCCGTCAATGTACGTATCGGAAAGCGATAACGGTACATCGGCAGAGTTGAAGTCAAGCTCGTTCTTTGGTGTTGTTGGACGCTCCGAATCAACAAGTACTACATGGTAAACGCCAAGGCTTGAGCCCCCCGCAGAGTAGCAGCCACCGGTGCGATTGCTGCTGTCGGCGGTGACATCGTGTTCGATGTGGCACACGCGTACGCCGGTGCTTCGCTGCTCTCTGGCACAAAAAGGTTGCCCCGTGTCGGCCAAATTAGTTCCGATACACGCTGGTCTTGCTCACGAAAACCACCAGCGTGTAGCAACCTCTGCCAGCAGACAACCCCGCACAGATAGACGCCTGGTTCGACTCAAACACAGCTCAAGCATTCGACCGACCTGGAGCTCCCATTATGACCGCTGCCATCTTCTTTATGCCTCTTGTCTGCGGATGCTGATGCTGATGTCGCTGTCTGAACGGGCTGCCTCGAATGCCAACTAGCCGGAAGGCGCCACGCGGAACCGTCAGCACCATGGTCGGTCTTATGCGAGGGGTTAATAGGCTTGGCAACCTACCCTAGCCCTTGCAAACTCGCCGCGAGGGACGGGGGGAGAGGGAGGCAGAGGGAGGGTCACTGGGTTAGGTGTGCGTGTGCGTGCGAGATGCTTCTTCGCTGTCGAGCTCTTGTCGAGATGTCGATGCGGCGGAATATCGCAGCAGTGTACCACGAAAGGGTACGGGCAGGTGGGCGAACCGCGAACCGCCGATTCTCAGAATTTGAGCCACGGCTCGTCGGCTCGTCGGCCTCTTCGGCGCTTCGGCGTGTAATAATAATATTCCAAGAAAACATGCATACAATCACTGAAAGACTACCCGTTCGACATAATACCCCAGTGGAAGGGGTGTGTCGGAGTTTTTGCAGTGAATGGGGAAATGAACCTATACCTGCCGTATACTGCTGTTGTTGCTGCTGTTGTTTATAATGTAGCCCGTACACCTCTTTTAGGCATACCTTTTTCCGTCACTGGAATATGGCAGAGTTCCGATAAGGATCTACTTGTAGGCTACTGTAACCTGGTCCAGGTTTTTGGTACACGATTTCATCATGAAGGAATGTTCGAGGCAACGAGGCAGAAGCCTGTGTACGAAAACCTGTGTACTACTAACATCAGATATTAGCAGACCAACACGTTGCCTGCGCACACAGCGTCTTGGCGAGCAGTGCAAAAGACCGTTGTGTCGCCGTGTCGCCCGGGTAATAGTAGTGCGCGCGTGCAACGCCGCCGATCCACCCAAAAGTTACACTTACTTGTAGCAGACAACACGAAGTACGAAGTACACTTCGACCGACCGAAAGTTTAACATGACCTGCTACGTTTCTCCGGGCCGCAAGGAGGCCGATACAGATGCCTTCGAGTTGACTGCCATGTGTGTGCAGTACCTGACATCATACGACCTACTACCTGTACCACACACACACACACTGGTTACACGTGTCTGTTATGTACATCAGCGATTGGGACTAGGCAGACGACCACGTGGTGTGACTGCCCGCCTCGTGGTAATACTCCCCTGGTTGTTGCGTATTCAGAGCGTCTTTTAGTTATGCAACGCACATGATGATTGGCGGCGCACGATACTACGCACAATGAATGATCGAAATGAAGAATATTACCGATATGTTCGGCAGAGCCAGAGCCACCTGATAAAGGCAACAAACCGTTCGTCATCAGCCTCGAATCCACTGGTCCAGTGTGACGTCAAGCCCACGCAAAGCCCGTAGGCATGGGGGGCAGGCCAAAGGTAAGAGGCTTGCCTCTAACATGATGTGTTGTACTTATCATGGATCAAGACGATAAGCAAGGGTTTGAGAACGACCTATAAAACAGCAAAACGCACGCTGTAAGCAGGTTGTGTCGTAGGTCCTCCCTCCCATGCGTTTCAAAGATCACGCTTAATTGGTCACGGTCCTTTCCCATAAATGTCACAGAGCAGCCAGCCCACAACGCATAGAAACACAACAAATATGTCAGCATGGTAAGCAATAACAACATCAACTAACCACATCACGACACCTCCAGAAAACACGATCACTGCATGCATGTGTGAAGACTCAATAATCTCATACAATCTCGCCGCAATGCGCTTTGAGGTACGCACAACGACGGCGGGTAAATTCAAGGGTTCTTCAAAACCCTGTTGCCACGTCCGCCTCAGTAAAGTTGACGCCATACAGTAGTTGTATCAAACAGCCACATAGACTAACCCATCTGTCTGGAAAACTAGGGCAAACGTTTCCCAACAACAATTTTTCACTCGATACACCCGCCTCACAAACAGAAAATAAGAATAGAAGGAGGGTTCAGCATGAAAAGGCGTGGACAGGTAGAAAGCTCACCTGGCACCACCTAAAACCTAATTGCGCTGCGTCACCTTTCCTCTCTATTGTAGAAACAGTGCAACAGCATCAATGGCATCTCATGTACAAGAGGAATATACACCAGGATTCGGGTGGGGGAGGGAGGGGGGTGGGGGCTTCCGCCTCGGCTATTTCCTCCTCGCTCCATTATCCTTGAGAAAGACAAGTGCGAAAACGCCCGGACAGATAAACGTCTCGCAACAAAACTATACACATCAACGAAAACCAAAATTGAGGCCAGATCGCACGCAATTTCACGCTGAAACACAAGCCATGCCACACTTAATGACAACAAGCCCGTGCACCGCAACACAGGACTGGATGCATGGAAACGGGGTAACACCCGGTTTCGGAACTCTCAAGCACGGTCGTGTCCGCAATGCGAGGCCACGCCCCCACTCTCTTGCTTGTTGACAGCTTGAAAATGACGGAGGAGGTCCTAGTCATGGTGTTGGGAGCTCGATCGTCCTTTTGCGCACCGGTGTTGAGCGCGGGAAATCACTCCGAGTCCGTCAAGCTTCGGTCACACTGACGAGAACAAAAGAAGAACGACGAGAAGACACAAAATTAGATTATGTCAGGGCGTTGCTGGGGTAAGGATGAGACATGTCTGGAATATACCCACATTCGCTCCTAGTACAAAGGCCTCGCGTTCAGGTGATTTTCTTTCAAGCACTTTGATCCAAAGCTGTTTTCAGATTTCTGACGCCCGTTACACAGGAGACTACAAAAAACAGGGGGGTCGAAACGTTTTCAATTTTGTACACCATACGGGTCTGGGTGTATCGTTGTGCCAATTCGTGTTTGTTTTCTCCAAATCTCACCGATTCGGTGGAGAGAAAATTGTTACGCAAGCATGCGCTCCCGACGTCCTGGTAATGCTGAAGAACGTTCGGTCTCCGGGCAAGGTACAAACCCATTGCCTGTGGATGTTCAAACGGAAGGCCCAGGGGGGGTAGGTTTACGGGAGGATAAATTAGCAGAGGTGGTCGCTTGAACGTTTTTTTTACATTGAAAAATCGTCGAGTATATAAAAGCATCGCGAGACACAGATCAGCGCGAACTCCTACTCATCCACCCTTCTTCCAAAAGAAAATTCGGGTCACCTCACGGTGGTATCTACACGAGACGGGAGGAGCACGATTCGGTATCACAAGCACTATTCTTACCTCTGCCACCTCGCCGAAAGGATCTCTGTCGAGAACGGTCCAGATATCCCCCTCATCGGTCATCAGGGCAATGCTTGAGGTAACCTCGAGGAGCGAGGACACACACTCCTCCCACTCGGCCTCTTCGTCGGGAGTGGGGGATGGAGAGCGTGACCAGTAGGGCTTGAGAGATTGCGCCAGCTTGGGCAGGCTGTGCTGGTGGGCGAAATTGTTGGCCATGTCGGGCGCACCCTTGATGAGGATGTGCACGTACCTGTTGGGCAGGGAGAGAGAGGCAGGGAGAGGGAGGCACAAGTGAGGGGGGGGGGCAAGGACCAACGGCCTGGCGGGACACCACAGCAGTGCTGCCTGCAACGAAAATGGAGCCCTGAAAAGAACTCCAGCACAAAATGCGCACACGTAGGCTAGATTCTATCCTAACAGGCTGGGTGCTGCCCGATAACTCTACCGAAGAAAACAATCCTTGCGTTGCTTCAGGAATGTTGCTGTGATCTTTCATGGCCAAGAGCGCAATATCACTATCTGATCATCGACATGCGCGTACTCACCCTACTGCCAAAACCACCCGGCAGGCGTCGAAAGACACGCCAAGGGTGTGCTTGGACCCCGCCACGGTCCTAGCAAGCTCATAAGCCTTCTCGAGGAACGAGGTGTCCCCATCGCTAGCAGCGTAGCCGTGCAGCGCTGCAACAGCGCCTTGGAGAGCCGGATGATCGAACTCTTCCAGCGGGTTCGTATCGCTCCTGGTTTCGGTAGGTTGAGTTTAGAAGAATGTCAGTCGATGTTGGCACCGGCATGTCTGCGCTTTTCGGATACAAGAAGGGCCATCAGTTGCAAGAGCCAGCGGCGCAAAACGCAAGACAAGACAAAGCGTTCATGTTCAAGAATTCGGTCGTCTCAGCTCCCTCCAGACTCAGTTTTCTTGGATAGGTCAGAGGCCTAAGGCCAAGAGTGACTCAGAAGTTCTAGTTGCAACTCCATCAAGTTGTCGTTCCACGTGTCACTGCGTGGTGTACTGTAGTCTAGACCAAAGATACAACACTTGCTGAGGACGAGCCATCAGCGGCAGGAGTCAGCGGCGAAAAATGAAAGACCAGACAAACGTTCGTGTTCAACAACCTGCAATGCGGTTGTCTTCTCTCCGGTCGTCTGAGCGCCCCCCAGAATCAGTTTTCATGAGCAGTTCAGAGGCCTACAGCCAACAGTGACTCAGAATAGGTCAAGTTGACACATATGCATCAAGGGGTTGGCCCAATTTTTGTCACTGCGCTAATTTATGTACAGGAGCCTAGGCCAAAAGAGCGCTAGTAGTTGAGACCGAACATGGCAGAGTCTACACAACTTCCTAGAGGCTACGAAAGGCACCAATGCACGTATCGCATGGTCGGGGAAACCAACCCTCAGTCTGCAGCTGGCTGTAAAACTCACCGTTCATTGCAGAACTGCTGTTGTTGCTGTCGGATAGATGAGGAGCGTTGTTCGAGCTGCAGCAGCAGGGTGTCGTCGATAGAGTTGACAGTTCTAGCGCCCGCCCCCAACCGGTGTCGGTCCTCGAACACTAAGCCATCATCTCCTTCTTCCCACGAAGCGACGGAGGACTCATCCGAGCTGCCGAAACTAGCAGGGCGGGAGTCAACTATCATCGCTGAGGTGGAGTTGGTGGTCGTCGTGGATGAATAGGATGCCGTCGTATGTGAGAGGTCGTGCTCGAGAGATGCTCCTTTCCCTGCTGCTGTTGTTGGGGCAATGCTGTCGCCGGAGTTACGCAGGGCGTGTTGGAGGGAAACAGTTTTTCTGTGGATCGGCGATCCTGGCGAGCCGCTGGTGCTGCTGTGCGAGCTCTCAGGGGTGTCCTCGAGAAGCTTGAGCGCGAGCCGCGCAGTCAAATGCTTCCGGGGTTGCCGTTGTTCGCCGTCGTAAATCATGAGTACGTTGCTGCTGCTGCTGCTGCTGCTGCTGCTAGATGGTGCTTCGGGAGACGACAGGAGGAGCAAGACTGTCGTGCGCGTGTGGGTGTGGGTGGTGTCAGTGGCTCGGCGTTGTGGTGAGGTACGGATGTGCGGATGCACCCTGCTCAGAAAACGAACGGGTGACTCAACAGGCCGACACGTCACTGCCGACGGACTGTCATCCAGTTTAAAGTAACCAATGAGCCGGCCGCGCCCGCCAGGAGCCCCAGGAACAGCCCCCCAGAATTTTCACGGAGCCTCTAACTCCACCCGGCGCGTCGCCGCAACAAGCTGCTTGCTTGTTCAATGTTGGCTTGAACGAACTCTGCGCTGTGGAAGTTGTGGCTGAAAGCCTGCATCTCGCGTGTCGGAGATTAGCAATGGTCATCCGCCCGACCTACGGTGCTCGGCTTCGGCAGGTGCTGCGTCGGACTTCTCCTGGCGCCACTGGAGGTGTCCAACGTCCGCAGTCAACGGTGGGTCCAACTTGCAAGCAGTACACCCGATGATATGTGTGCCCCTACCGTCTCCGACAACCTGTATGCGGCATGCCTACATCCCACACTGTAGCGCACTTGCAGGCTTCTGCTGCCTGTCACACACGATCTACCCATGCCCCCCTGAAGCATGCGAGAAACTGACGGGTTTTTGGTTGAGGATGGTGCGTGCTGGCTCACGCAGCTTCAAGTGAAGATAAAGTTTGGTCTGGCAACTGGCAACACAGCAGTCACCAGCACGGATCGAAACTCTCGAAGCATCTCGCTCTTGTACCACAGTACAACCTCAAGTTTCCAGCTCTCCGCACCTGCCCAGGAGGTGCTTTGAGTCGAGCAATATCACGATATCACGGGTGGATCTACCCGTTGAAGTCGCCGGGTGTGAGCAACTGGATTGTTGCAGACCCTCCGCTTATACTGTCTGCTGTTTTTCTTTTACCCCATAATCTTTTGTGGACGGCTCAGAGACTGCAAGGTACTGCTGTATGTAGTGGCCCCTGTTTTTAATGGCCGCTAGCGCCAAATAATTCGGTCGGCCTGATGCCGGGCACTCAGCACAGTTCAGAGTATATGGGACAACTTGAAACTCGAATAATATCGAACATTCCATGCGTGTCGCGCGATTTCACCAGAGGGTCTTTCAGAAAGGCTGACCGGCATTATGTGTACCTTGCGGCGCACCAAACGTTTTCTCCCATGTCTTCGATCAATCATCAGTGCTATCCGCACCCGATGGTGACCCCTCCCCCCGCCGGCCGGTTCCCTCCCTCAAAGAACCACCATCGACTCGCGGCGTGTTGAATTTCAGGATGCCGTCATTGTCAGCATGGCCCGCACGCCCATCGGCAATTTGGGGGGGGGAATTTCCGCGCTTTGGGGCCCAAAGTTGGGCGCTATTCCCTTCCGGGAAGCTGTGGCCAGAGCGGAAGGTATTACGCCCAGTAGTTTTTGTTAAATTTAGACGGGAATCGTGCCTATTTCCAGGGAGGGGGGAGTTTCCCCTGCCCCCCCCCCCCCGCCACCGCGGCTCAAAAACAGCACACGATGGGGTAATCTAGGGTGTTCTGCAGCGGGAATGCTTAAGCACGTGTGTCGAGTACTTGATGGCAGACTCCGCTTGGCGTGGAGGTCATTGTTGATTCATGGAAACGAAACTAGCCCCGGGTGGTTCAAAATGTCTGTGTTCGCATGCTCGCGCCGTGATCGCGATACGCTCTCTACCCAGGGCTACAGCCCGCTCTCGTCGAGGAGGTGTTCATGGGTAACGTGGTCAGCGCAGGGGCGGGCCAGGCGCCAGCGAGGCAGGCGGCAATCTACGCAGGCAAGCAGCAAGCCCGTGCAGGCTGCCATGTTGTTGTTGGTGGTGGTGGTGATGTTTGTACACAGGATTGGGATCTTTCATTGTTTTGACAGAGTTTTGCTAGAAATAATCATGTTCTCACCCCCCCCCTTACCTGTCGAATCATGCCTTTTCTCCGCAGGGCTCCCCGAGTCCGTCCCGTGCACAACGATCAACAAGGTGGGTGCTGCTCGTTGTGGTGGTTGTTCTTTGCATCGACGATACCACCGCCGCCGCTGTGTAGTAGTACGGTGGTGCGGACAGGACACGAAAACTACATCGGGACACAGCGGTAGCGCTTGGGGCGAGGCAGCAGCTCAGCGGTGTACCTTTTGGACCTAAGCATGGCATTGCTTGTCGTTGTCCCAAAGAATGCTGACCGCACCTGTCATTGCACTGAGCAAGGAGGGCCAGAGACACACCCACATGTATAGCTCCTTCCATACTAAAAGGGAGCGAACCAAGCAGGCTAAACGTAGACCCTGCCGTGCTTGTCGCACACGCCTACCGCGTGGCTAACGATCAACAACCAGGTCTGCGCGTCCGGTATGAAGTCGGTGATGCTGGCTGCGCAGAGCCTCTCGCTGGGTCACCGAGGGGTGATGGTCGCGGGAGGTTTCGAGAGCATGTCGAACGTGCCGTACTACCTTCCCCAGGCGAGGGGCGGTCTTCGCCTCGGTAACGGTACCGTCGTCGACGGTGAGTCTCTCTCTGTCTCTGTCTCTGTCTGTGTGTGTCTGTCTCTTTCCAATGACTCTGTCTCTGTCTGCCTCTTTCCAATGACTCTGTCTCTGTCTGCCTCTATCTCTCTGTGAGTGTCTCTCTTTCTGACTCTCTCTTGTTGAGTCATGAGGGAAGGACTTCCCTTCCCTAGAAGGGGTCCCGTAGAATATTTTTGCAGTTTGTTGCAGTTAGGGTTGGTTACATTACACCAGTCGAACCAAAACGCCGGCAGAGAGACAGTGTTGTAGAAACCAGTTGCGCGAGAGGTCCAAAAGGCTTTTGACGTGGCGCCGTACCGTACGAGTTGACGCGAGAAGTCGCAGCGCCTGGTAAGATGATTTTCATGCCCTCGAGGGGGTGAGCAGGTCACCACGTGGAAAATTCCCGGAAATTTCTTTTGTTCCCCGCCGACGGGACGAACCCTTCGTAACAACTCAACGGCTCCAGGAACCACACCGCGGCCACCATGACCACGAACGCTCCATCCTCGGTTTCGTCTGCCACACCTGCTTATTTTTTTTTCCTCTGACGATGTTGCCATACATTTTCCACAACGGGCTGCGGGACGTGTATCTTGGCTTCACGTATCTGAAACAGCTACACTCCCGAACCTGCAAGATAGGTATCATCCATGACGGGCTGTGGGACGTTTACAACGACCACCACATGGGCATCTGCGCCGAGAAGTGCTCGTCTGCCTACGGCATCAGCAGAGAGGCCCAGGATGAGCACGCCACTGAGAGCTACCAGCGGGCGGCCTTGGCTTGGGAGAAGGTTTGGAAAGTCGTTTGGGGTGTGTTGGGTGCAGCGGACTGCAACCGTAGTCTCCCGAATAGGGTCTTGGTGTCGTGTGGCGTGGGCAAGCGCAACCAGCGGCAGATAGAGAAGCAAGGCCAAGGCGATCGCCCGGTTCCCTGCTGTTCTTCCAATTTTGTGGGGTGTGTTGTGTTGGGTTGGTGACTTTGCTCTCTTGGCTGTTGGTTGTCTGGCGTGTTGTGTCGCCAAGTTCCAGGTGATAACGTGCCCACCCACCTCTCTCTCTCCCCCCCTCCTCTCCTCCCCTCTTCTCTGTTTCTGTCTGTCTGTTTGTCTGTCTGCCTCTCTCTCTGTCTCTCTCCATCCCTCTCTCTCTCTTGTCCGGCTTGTCTTTCCCCGTGCGCTGTGTATGTCGCTTCTCTCACACATTCAACACCATCACCAACCAATACATGACGAAAAACAACCACAATAAACAACAGGGACGCTTTGACGAGGAGACGACACCTGTGGAAATCTCTTCTAGGAGAGGCTCGCCGACGACCATCACCAAGGACGAGGAGTACACAAATGTGAGCATCAGAGGATACAACCCTGTCGATTTACTATATTAGTATCCTACCAACACGTCGGGGGACTGTTGCAAACGCGGTATGACCTCTCCTTGTCTTTACCGTCAATCTTCATCTTCTCGCGTGTTGAGGAGCACTGGCCGACTCTTTTTTCCGTCGACGTTTGTTTCGGCAACGTGTACATGTATGCACGTATGTCAATCGAAAACAGATCGACCTCGGCAAGCTGAAAGGCTTGCGGCCTGCGTTTGAGCGAGAAGAGGGCACAGTGACTGCGGCCAATGCTAGCAGCCTCAACGACGGGGCGGCCGCGCTTGTGCTCATGAGCACCGCAAGGTACTATACCCTTGGTGTTGTTGTTGTTGTTGTTGTTGTTGTTGTTGCTGTTGCTGTTGTGGCTGCTGCTGCTGCTGCTGCTGCTGCTGTCAGAAATCTGAATTTTCGACCACCTCACATCTACGTGATTATTGATGTTACAATTTGCAGGAACACGCGACAGGTATGATTGTGCTAGCCTTGCGAAACCCGTCTATGGCTGCATCGCTCTATACCCCCCCACACTAACATTCATCCGTATTCATACAGGAAACTATTATATGACAGTACGCTGAACAAAACGCGGTGGAAAGCATGTGACGGTCCTCAGACGTTCATTCACGAATGACAAATTGCTTCTCAGTCGTAGCCGAGATGCTTGGTGGTTGGTGTAGGCTGTTGAGGCGAAGATCAAGCAGGCACCCTCCCAAAAACAACGCAGCGGTCGCTCGGATTTCGATGCTGAGCAGGGCGGAGGAGCTCGGGGTGAAACCGCTTGCGAGGATCCTGGGCTACGGGGACGCTGCTCGCGTGAGTGTTTTTTTTCTGCTCCCGTTCTTCTGCCACCCATCTCGTGGGCGGCGCGAATTGAGCTAAGACAGACGAGATACATGTTCGATAAGCAGTTCTTGGACCCAAAGGCAAGGAAGGCTCGTGGAGGGTCAGCCGAGTTTAGCCGTGCTTGTTGTTGCTGTTGCTGTTGCGGAACGGTACCATACGATTAGTATAGTAGCTGCGGTAGCACGCCTTCCCAGCGTTCTCGTGAGAGGACCCCGGCAGTCAATCTGTCGACCGATTGGTGAAGCGACTGCTTGTCCATCGCGTGAAGAGAGGGGGGCAAACCTCTCGACGGCTCCACGTTGTCTTGGAGCACATCGTTCTCACAGGCGTAGAAAAACGAGGAGCGTGACGAAAGCCGGCTACACTAGACGGAGTTCCCACTCGACAGGAATGTTGTGTGTATGAGCGCGGATATACAGTAATATCAGAACAAAACTAGACGAGGTGGTCGCCAGTAGCAGAGCGAGCATGTACTCGAACCAATGCGCTCCTTCCCCGCACGAGAACAAAAAACGGAGAATCACAAAAAACATGCCCAAGACCTTTCTTTCTCGAGCCGTTTGACGATGGGTTGCCTCCCTCCCCTGCTGAACACCACCGACTCGCAGGCTCCGGTAGAGTTCACCATAGCACCCTCGGACGCGGTGCCGGTGGCACTGAAAAACGCCGCGATATCTCTGGGAGACGTCGACTTCCACGAGATCAACGAGGCATTTAGTGTCGTCGCCTTGGCGAACATGAAGGTAAGGCGTTCCGGGCGTGCCGTTTACCTTGTGTGTGGATAATAGGGTGGGGGTGGGGGTGGGGGTGGAGAACTGGGTCTGGCTGGAACGACTCATGGAAGCAACCAACCCCGTGCGACCACTTGGGATTCCTGGTATGTCGCGTAGAGCACTGGGTCGCTTGCTGCCCCTGCCGTCGTAGTTGGTAGAGCTGTATCTCCGTTTTTTGCTGCGATTTGGTGGCGTGTGACGCTCGGGTTGGCAAGGTTGAGAGGGAACGGGGTCCTTTTTTGTGCAACAGCGTTCTTGCTGCCTTGTCGCGGTGTTGGTTGTTGGCTGTGCGATCGCCGGGAAAATGTGGCTTGCTGTTGGCGAAAGAAGAGGTCGCTAAGAATGGAGGAGACTGCTGGTGGTGGGGCAGAAGAGAGGAAACGACCGGAAAGCTCGTTACCGCCGCCGAGTCGCGGAATCAACACTAGGATTTGCCCATCAGCCTTTTGGGCCACCTCGGGCATCATCACAAGAAGGGTTACTTATATCTTGCAGTATTTAGTCGACTCTAGGACAAGCGCGACTGGGGTTATTACATCTTGCCAGCGTAAGATCAGTACCACCTTCCGATCACACTCTTTCGGCATCGAAGGTGATGCGCTAGGGGAGAGAAGGCTTACTATCCCCCCTCCAATGGGACGACGAAACTCTGAATGTATCACTCATCCGCCGTAGTAAATCCACGGCTCATTCGTTCTTGCTGCCCTTGCCAATAGAGGCAGCAGCAATAGTAAGGTATCGCCCCCCTACAACCTTTCAAAACGAGTCCCTTTCCTTTCCGTTCGGTGTCGTGCAGATTATGGGTCTCGATCCTGCGAGGGTAAACGTAAACGGAGGAGCGGTCGCTCTCGGACACCCTATCGGGTAAGCCTTTTGAGTTGATTTCTGACGCATCTCTAGTTTTTTTGGTGGCAGGGGTGCCGACCCCTCGTTTTCTGAGCTTCATTTTTTTTCCACGGTAGCTGGTATCCCCGGTTCCGCGCCGTAATGAGCATGTGTGAGCATGACTCACAATTCCGTCAGGCACGATGTGTGATTGCTGAATATTCTGGTGATGAACTATTGCTGTGAGTAATCGTCATCAGTTACCTTATTATCAACAAAAACAACGTTAAGACTAACTAGGTACCAACGGGATGCCGAGATTGATATTGAGGAAAGGAAACAACCGACCTATTTAGTTGCCATTCCCATACGAAGGGTCGACATATAGATTATGGGCATGGAGTCGTGATGCATACATAGAGAGTCTCCTTCGATCCATGCTGGCGATCGAGGTACACTCAGACACGACACGTGACCTATCGCCCCTCTCCCCCCCCCTTCCGGTAGTTTTCTGTGTTACACTTGACGTTCCTGCTGCAGCTCCTGTAGTTCCTCACTTCCTCTCTGTCCCGTCACCTCCCTCCCCTCTCCCCATGTCGTGCGTTACGTCGCCGTCTCCCGGTCATCGTATGCCTGTCGCTTCCCTCCCCTCAACAAAATATGCCCAACACACATCTTCCTGCTGGTGCTTTTGGCACCGCGGTAGGTCGTCTGGTGCTCGCATCATCTGCTCCCTGTACCACGTGCTCAAGCAAAACGATGGCACGGTGGGGTGCGCGTCCATCTGCAATGGAGGCGGCGGAGCCTCGGCGATCATCATCGAACGCTTACAGTGACAGCAACGGCGCTGTACATCTTGACGTCACGTGCTACATACTTACCGCCACCCGTACTTGTAGCATAGATGTTCCGATTTTTTCGGGCGCTGCGTTGTTGTTGTCGTTCTTGTCTTGACGTGGAAAAACCGTTCCGGTACAGCAGTATCTGCTCAGTACCTTTCACCGCTGACACTGGTCCACCTAGCGCGGATGCCTTCCGTGGTCAAAGGCGAACTACCCTAGAGAGGCACGCATGAGACAATCGAAGATCGTGCAAGCTTGTTGGGCCCATTTTTTTCGGTGTGCGTGGGACAGGTTTCAGGGGCATTCATTTTTTTTTTTCTCCCACAACTACAAAAGACGATTTCATCAATAACCACAACGAGCTCTTTGTTGTTGAGACAGAGACGAGAGATTCGACATGTACCGTTGGTAGTTTGAAGTTGACCTCGACAACTTTATGTTAGGGCTTCACGCAGACGGAACCAAGTCTTCTCGCGGGGCTGGGCGATCGCAGCCTTGTGTTACCGATGTGATGGGGTGACTTTTGTCAAGTTGTTGGGGTCCTTTTCATCAATCTCCCGATCAGCGGAGGTGACGATAGTTAAAACCCCTGCAAAGACATGCATCGATCGGCCGAGCGTCTCTTTGTTTTAACCCACAACCCACACGAGTACTTAGGTCGTTGTTTTCTCCTTGTAAAAAGTAAAAAGTCACCACCCCGCTGCCACCGCTCGATCGAACGGGCCTAGGCAGGGGCTAAAGAAGCCGAACCGCCTTGGCTGGGGGTGTGGAACACGTGACTCTGTAATGAACCAAAAAGTCTGCCGTAAAAGCCACTCTGATTGATCGGCTTATCTTTCTCTTCTTCTCCCTCTCGCTCCGCCTCCTGCCGGCGTGGACCACAGCTACGGTGAGCGAGCGCATCGATCGAAACTCGGATGGATGCCCGTTCGGATAAATGCTGATGATGGAGGGACATAGATATTGTACATCCCGGCAAAAAATCACCCCGTTCAGAAGGCTAACAAAAAAGAACGGGAAAAAGAAGAGACGCAAAAACAATTAAACTAACCAAAGCTACACATGAAACCGCTGCTCGCCTCCCCCCTGTCTTCTGCCTCCGTCTCCTGCACAGAACAGGCTTGACGCCTGTCGCAACTAACGACCACACCAACGCGTATTGCGTCGTTCCCTTTTTTTCGTACCCGCAAATAGAAAGCAGTCGCGTCATATGAGGCCCGGCGCTGTGCGGGTGATTGGCTACTTGCCCCAATCAACACCCCCACTAGCACAACGCGGGCGAAAGCTCCTAACACGAACGAGCCTTTGCCTAATCCCTCCTCCCCCCACGCAGCCACATCCCTGACGGCCATGCGCAATAGCCGATTTGAGACGAGCGCGCTAGGGGGCTTGTGATCGATCGCGCTACAGCAACAATGGCAATAGTCCCCCCCCCCCCCCCCCCCTACCACCTCCCCTCCAAAATGCCTCTTGCTCAAACAAAAACTTACCCCAAGAAAAAACATCGTCAAGAGTCGTCTCGCATGCGGTGTGTACAAAAACCCGTCGCCCCCACGGAATTTGCGCGCTCACTTCTCAACGGTTAACATTTCAACGGTTGCATCCACCCCATCGGTTGACCGGACGGAGGCAGGCTCAAGCCAAAATGAACTAAGTAGGAGCGGCGACTGGAGGAGTGGGTTAGTGGGGGCGGGACGGTCTCTACGCACGCAGCACGAAATGACCCCCCCTCCCCCCCCCCGCCCTCCGACGCCCAGGCCGATAAGGAAAAACCTAAATATACATCAGGCGTTATCAACCCGAGGCCCCAGCCAGCAGGCAGAGTGTTGATTAAGCGATAAATGCACGATGCCAAACATGTGTGCCTTTCAAGACAACAAGCAACCGATATTACGGCACGGGCAAATTCATGAAACTATTAAAAGCGATCTGAACGAACGCAGGGGGGGTGTGAGGCAAAAACCCTCGACTGCATCAAGGTAGTGATGCCTCGGCGCAGGCTCCTCCCAAGATCTGCTTCGCCTGTCCCAAAGCAGGAAGGGGTCCTGCTTTCCAAAAAGCCGAAAGCAGCTTCGGCTCCGACTGGCAAGGCTTGAGCTTCTTCCGCAGTCGAGTTGCCAGTGCGCGACCCCCTCCCCCCCCCCCCCTCCACCCCCCGGTGTCCTCTAAGATCCGTGTGTCCCAATCCCCCCCGACTCGGCATTCGGATCGTACCGGATCTGAAAAT